GTTACAAATTTACTTATTTACAAATTTGCATGGGGATGTGCTGGGTTTTTTTTTTTTTTTTTGGTGGGGGGAGGGGATGTTGCACATAAACAGGACTGACCTGGTAACTGGGGACGCAGGGTCAGGTCTAATTCTCCACTGAGTCATCTGACAGCCATGTTTTGTCCATCTGGGCCTTGATTTATTTATTCATAAGAATGAAACTAATCACCATATTCTACTTTCTTTGCAATAATGCTACTGGAATAATTAGCAATAAATAGAAAATACTTAGGAAGTACTCTTAAGGAAAGAAATACTAAGGAATTATTAATCCATCACAGCAGAACTAAAAAATATTGGGCACGGCCAGGGGCAGTGGCTCACACCTGTAATCCCAGCACTTGGGGAGGCTGAGGTGGGTGGGTCACGAAATCAGGAGATCGAGACCATCCTGGCTAACATGGTGAAATCCCATCTCTATGAAAGTACAAAAAAAAAAAAATTAGCCGGGTGTGGTGGCAGGCACCTGTAGTCCCAGCTACTTGGGAGGCTGAGGTGGGAGAATGGCGTGAACCCAGGAGGCAGAGGTTGCAGTGAGCTGAGATCGTGCCACTGCACTCCAGCCTGGGTGACAGAGCGAGACTCCATTTCAAAAAATAAAATATAAAAAAATGGGCACTTACTCTCCTATCTGAAGGAGGAGTTAGTCATTTTCAAAATTTGCTGCTATAGGCCAAGTACACCCTTCCCTCTTCAGGTCAGTGTGTTTCCAATGTCCCACTTATTAGAGCCCAGGGAACTGTGTAGGGTAGAAGGGGAGGATCAGAAAGGAGTCTGAAATCCAAAAGGGGATAACAAACTTTGGCTTAAGTTGATTTCTATATAATGGCTCTGAATTTTAGTGATCAATTTATCCAACCGTTAGCGTCCTTAGGTAAAGAAAGTAAAATGAGGTCAAATACACCATTGTCCATAGGAATCGTCAGTGCTTTGACTCTGAGCATTTTTCTGAATATAAAGTTCAAAACACATGAGTCAAGGCAGGAATTTCTAAAATCAATAACTATTAGTCACCTCTCATGCCCTGCTATAGTGCTTTGATACTCAAAAGTGTCCTGCGCTATTGATATGTGAAGCTTCTGGTTTAAAGGATGATGGAAACTTTCCCTTAACTCTATTTCTGGTGCTGTGGAAACTGAAATATACACGTATGCACACACAGGCATATGCGCACACACACACACACGTTTCCCTATTGCCACAATTTATTCCAGGATAGAAATGAGTAGAAGAATGTTAGAAAACAGGGAATTGCATTTACCCTATTAGTGTTTGAGTCTAAAACCCTTCTGAATATACAATAAAACATAAGCGTAAATCATTCCTTAACATTAAATTAGGTTTTGGAGTATTAGGAAGGACCACAAAGGGGAAACCAAATTTAAGACAGCTCAGAAGACATCTCTCCAAATATTTTGTAAGACAGAAGAAGATTTCACCTCATTATTTAATTTACTTGTCAGTAAAAAGCCTGTAAAACCACAGTCTTACGATAAAGTTAAATAGCAGGAACAGTAGACAGTAAAAAGCCTATAAAACCACAGTCTTATGATAAAGTTAAATAGCAGGAACAGTAGACTTTCACTGTCTTTCCAAAGAAATCAAGATACTGAAATCCTGTCCAGCGCTTTCCTCTAAAAGCTTCCTTGCATTTTTAACCCAAACCAAAATCTTCTGTTACTCAGAAGATTGTTTCTTTTTCATTAGATTCATCTAGTAACTACCTGCTCATTAAGTAAGTGACATCCTTCTAGAACAGGCTGCCCAAGAGTCAACAAAGCTAATGTAGAGGGTTACAGGCTCTGAAAGGCAACATGAAGAGGACAGGAGAAGGAAGGATGGATGGAAGAAGGTGGAGGAGGGAGAGATGGAGGAGAGCAGGCACAACTCAGGAAGCCAAGTTTCACAACTGGGCTACAAATCATTACAGAGGCAGTTTAACCTTTCTGCCCACCCAGCAGCTGCCTGTCCTATCTGCCTAGTTTCCTTTCTCAGGAGCTGCCCATTTCTCTTAAGAAAACAAGGGAAAGTCCTGAGCATTCTCCGAATGTCAGGTGCCTTCACTCCCATTAACCTTAAAAGTGGTTTATAAATGGTAGAAGAGAGAGTGCAATTAGTACAATGTATGATAGGAATTTCTAAACTCGGTACAATTTAAGCCCAGAAAAAATGACTAGTTCTGTAAAAGAGGTGTGTGTAGATATGCATTTTAATTGCATCATTATGCTGTATCCCCTGGACCGAAGTAAATACAGTAATTACACATAAAGTGCACATAATGCACTTTAGAGAGGGGCAGGGCATGCACATCTGTGATCTACAGCATAAGGAAGCAACACACACGGTCAGGTTTTGAATGGCATACTAATTACCCCACACTAGAAAAGAGGGTATCACTTCTGAGAACAAACATACCCCAATGTGAATATGTACCTGCATTTGTCATGACAGCATAATGGGTGCACATGGTAATTTTGATGCAAACATGCTTATATCACCGGTAATATCTTATTTAAGGACCCGTTTATTATTTCGGTATACTTTGAGCAATGACAATATTAGTTTATTTTTTATTTTTTTGAGACCGAGTCTCAATCTGTTGTCTGGGGTGGAGTGCAGTGGTGTGATCTCGGCTCACTGCAATCTCCACCTCCCAGTTCAGGTGATTCTCCTGCTTTAGCCTCCTGAGTGGCTGGGATTACAGACATGCACCACCATGCTGGGCTAATTTTTGTATTTTTTTAGTAGAGACAGGGTTTCGCCATGCTGGTCAGGCTGGTCTCAAACTCCTGACCTCAAGTGATCCACCCACCTCATCCTCTCAAAGTGCTGGGATTACAGGCGTGAGCCACTGCACCTGGCCAATGACAATATTAGTTTAAATGTAATAAAAACATTTCCTCTACACTAAGTTGTCAAGAAAATCTTCAGTTTGAAGTTGGCAACAAAGGCCCACAAACCACAGCAGAGAATTACCTGTGCTACTTATCAGGAGTATGTGGCCCTATTTGTCTCTTACTTCTGAATTCGTAGCATAAGTAAACCTGTGATCCCATCTTCACAAGAGGCCAGTGACTTGATATAGCATAGGTCTTCCAAACCTTCCATCACCAACATCAGGGATGCACCAGGATTCCCAGCCCATCTAATTCTTCAACTTTCCCCCCATATGCTGGATCTTTAAGAACCCCAATTCCTGCCTGCAAACATCTGGCAAACTGACAAATTTACATAGCTCCTTTGTGAGTTCTAGAACTTTTACATATACTCAGACTTGCAATGCAATTCAAGGTTCTCATACCCTGACTCTTGCTAGAAGAACACTGCTGGAAACTAGATACCAAGTCCCTCCCCTACAGTCTTTTTAGAGACCTTGTAACTAGTTGGTCATACGTTTTCAATGACACTGGCCAAAGAACAGTGAGGAAACTGGAAGTCATACAAATGATATGAATAGCAACCAGGAAGACATGGTACATTACTGGGTCAAACTAGATTAATGTGTTGCTTTATTTAGGTTTCTCTGTGAAACAGAAAACCACCCAACCTGTAACTCAGGGCTTTCATGACCCCAGGTTCCACTCTCTTCGTGTAGGGGGTCTTTAACTTCCTCTACCACCAATCTCATCTGCTTCTGATTCAGACGTGCTGATAAACGGCAAAAGTCAAACTAGTCCCCAGTCAAACGATCATCTTAATCAGACCGGAAGAGAAAATTTCAGGACGATCTAGGCTTATGCTTATAGCTGCAAAATTCTAAATATGTACGGCAGGTCCTAGCATTTAGCCTAGTGCATATGGAGCTGTAAATGCATATTTGTCAAAGTAAAAAAAAAAATGTAAAAGCATTCCATTACTAAGTATTTCTCAATGATCATATACAGGGTCTTGCCATAATAGAATAGAAGCTTGTTTTTGGAAGCTACAAAAACATCCACAGCCAATGAGCAGCCTCCTTCAAAGTGATGCTCCAAATGCTAAAACAGGATTCAAATTCCATCATTCATCAGCCTACTTGTCTAACTTCTCAAACACTTCCTTCAGAACCAGTTAGTGCATGAGACACTAACCATACCTTTAGTAAATAAACAGTTCCTGGCTTTAAACATTTCCTGCTTGATAATCCTGCATCTTGGTTTAAACAGCTAAACTGAAATTGCGTGGTCACAACTCTTATTTTGCTTTGAATGACTAAGCTGTTATCCCAAATCAAATCTACCATTCAAAATATTTCTATGACTAAGGTTATGCCAGTGAATATCCATAAGCCATTCCAGAGCTCCAAGAGCAGCTTGGGATGTGACTTTGTTGGAATAAGCTTATAGGTTCCCACGTGGACTACGCTGATTGGGCATCAAACTTATACAATTCTTGGTGCCTGACCAAGATCCACCCCAACAATTTACTGTCATATTTCATGAGACCCAGAAGAATGTTTAAGCAGCTTTCTATCTGAGCAACAAATCATGGTAGCATAAGTTTTGCTGATATATATTTCCATTTCTTTGTAACAAAATGTAAGAAAATCTTTTTTTTTTTTTTTTTGAGACAGAGTCTCTCTGTGTCATCCAGGCTGGAGTGCAGTGGCGCAATCTCGGCTCACTGCAAGCTCCGCCTCCCGGGTTCACGCCATTCTCCTGCCTCAGCCTCCCGAGTAGCTGGGACTACAGGTGCCCACCACCACGCCCGACTAACTTTTTGTATTTTTAGTAGAGACAGGGTTTCACCGTGTTAGCCAGGATGGTCTCGATCTCCTGACCTTGGGATCCACCCGCCTTGGCATCCCAAAGTGCTGGGATTACAGGCGTGAGCCACCGCAAAATCTATTTTTAATTGTTCTTAAAAGAATAAGAAAACCTAGTGTTTCATATAACTTATTCAACTTTAATATCTTAGCTGAGAATGCATGCATTCAATGAAATGTCATCATCGAGCACTTTTAACAAAGAATTACTTACGCCATGATGCCCGAGAGGTGAAACATTTCGGCTGTGATGTAGGACAAATAACTGTACAGGAAAACGAAGAGTGGCTCGATCACTCGGATATTATGGGTGAATCGAGTAGTAAATGCCGCTATAAAGCCCAGGAAGATGCCAATCAGCACCCCACCGATTCCCACAACAAAGAAGTTCGCGATTCCTGCAAACACATCAATGGTCTCAATGGTTTTCATCTGGCAAAACGACTTGAACAAGTTGTACAGGACCTGCAGGAAAAAGAAAACACCTTGTCAAGACCCTTTCCAGTTTCCCCATTATCACTCTGGGCACAAACGCATCTACCTGGCCTTCTAATAAGGACATTTCTTCTGTGTACCCAAGTAGGAAAGTGACAATCTTTGTGTATTCGTTTGTCTCATATTTTAATACCGTAGCTTTAAACTAACCAAAAAAACCTTTCAATAAAAGTGAGTTGTCAGGGAATTTATTTCTACAAGTAAGGGGGAGGCAATTTCAAAGTCATTGCATAACTTATTCCAAAAACATTATTTTTTCCAGATATCATCTGAAAGATTATTTTAAAATATTTGTTTGCCATCCAGCACACCCAGCTCATGTTACCATTGCTTGGTAGGTAACATGACAGCAAGAAAGCTTATCGGTGCTGCTGTGAACACATTTACCTTATAAGGTCCTATTGTGGAACCACATGACAGAAGGGACTCACGCATCAGGACAGGTACCCAGGATGAGTCAGTCATCCTCCCAGGTCACCAGTTCCTCACTCCACACTCCACCTCCTCTCCCCACCCACACATACATGTCTGGTGTAACTGAGACACACCCAAAGGAATTTTCTTCAAGCAAAGTGGCAGCAAACTCGTGTGTGTGTGTGTGTGTGTGTGTGTGTGTGCATCTGCCTAGGTTTTCTTATTCCTTAAGAATAATTTAAAATAGATTTATCTTACATTTTATTACAAAGAAATGGAAATGCACATCAACAAAACTTCATGCTATAATGAGACTGCTCTGTTGTTCTTTTTTCTTTTTTTTTTTCTTTTTTTTTTTGAGTCTCGCTCTGTCACTCAGGCTGGAGTGCAGTGGCGTGATCTTGATCTCAGCTCACTGCAACCTCTGCTTTCCGGGTTCAAGCCATTCTCCTGCCTCAGCCTCCAAAGTAGCTGAGATTACAGGCAGACACCACCACCCCCGGCTAATTTTTGTATTTTTAGTAGATATGGGGGGTGGTCTCACCATGTTGGCCAGGCTGGTCTCGAACTCCTGACCTCAAGAGATCCACCTGCCTTGGCCTCCCAAAGTGCCAGGATTACAGGCGTGAGCCACCATGCCCAACCTGTTGTTTCGTTCTTTACAGAGTCTTGGTTTAGTGAAGCCTTCAAAAGTGCCAGGCACTTCATGTCTGCTGGACCATATGCTTTCAACTTGTGCCTGGGGCCACTGACCGAACTGAAATGGAAAGTCATGGCTGCAGACCCACCACTTTCTTTTCACAAAATAAGCGAGTCAAACACCAGCCAACCAGGTGGCCTGCTTCTTTTTCACTGTGATATTTACAACTCTGGGAGCACCTGTAATCTCCAGGAAAACCGACTGATAAGGACGTTAGGGAGAAAGGCCATGCTACACCCTCATTTGGAGTCTGAGAAACTCAAAACTGGTCCCATTTGTTCAAGGTCAAATGACACAAAATGCCAGAGGCAATATTAGCATCCAAGACTCCTGACCTCCTGATTAAGTGGTTCAAGGTTCAATCATGGGAGAATGAAGTCACACTGCCTGGTAAGCAGTGTGCGGCCTGGCCAATGCCATCTCACTGTCTCTGCTTCACTTTATGGTCATAGCCTACCACAATATGGGTTTAATACGTTATTCTTTCCTCCTTTCTACTTGATTATAAGCTCCTTGTGATCGGTCAACACCTTATTACAATTTACATCTTCTATGTTGCCTAGTAGATGACAATAAATGTCTATTGGCTTTGAAAAATGGTGGATTATTCCCTAGGAAACAGTGAACTTTTCCTTTTCCCTAATTGTTGGTGTAACACTCGAGATCATTTGCTATCCTCCCCACCAAGAAATGACTTCAGAGAAGAACAAAAGAGACTCATTCTCCTGAAAACTTAAATATTTCAAAGACATCATCGTTTGTCAGACAGAGAAGGAAATGGCTCCATGTAGCACCCACTTCCACTTTGAACCTGCTGTCAGCATCGGTTTTCATCAGCATCAACACGCCACAGTTACTTCCTGAGACAGGATCACAGATGTGCTATATATACCCCTTGCCTCCAAACAGCCAAAGGCAAAAGGGACGATCACCGGCGTCCCAGAGGAGAGGCGGGTTTCCCAGCCATCTGCTGCTGCAGGGACAGCCTCTCTCCAGGGCCACTCGGGCACCACATTCTGTCTCCAGCCTCCAGCCTGCACCTGGGAGGCTCATCTCTTCTTTGCTCTAATCCCACTGCAGCCACTACAAGACCTACTTCCTTGGGACGGGCGCGGTAGCTCAAGCCTGTAATCCCAGCACTTTGGGAGGCCGAGACAGGCGGATCACGAGGTCAGGAGATGGAGACCATCCTGGCTAACACGGTGAAACCCCATCTCTACTAAAAAATACAAAAAAAAAAAAAAAAAAACCTAGCTGGGTGTGGTGGTGGCGCCTGTAGTCCCAGCTATTCGGGAGGCTGAGGCAGGAGAATGGCGTGAACCCGGGAGGCGGAGCTTGCAGTGAGCCGAGATTGCGCCACTGCACTCCAGCCTGGGTGACAGAGCGAGACTCCGTCTCAAAAAAAAAAAAAAAAAAAGACCTACTTCCTTCAAAGGCTGCCATTCCATTTTCACATCAGGAAGGCCTCATAGTCTCAAAACACCTGGTACACTTTTTTTTTAACTGCTTTCTAACGCACGTCAGATTGTAAAGGATTTCATCACTGTTCCATAAAACACACCGTATTTATTAACTCCTGCTCCTGGTTTTCTTTCTTTGTCCTTTCTCTTGCCAGCAACCCACCCCTAAACCTTTACCTATCTTCCAAGGCACAGCTGAACCTGCTGTTGCCCCCAAGAGCCCTCCTGGACCCCTGCAGCCTTTACAAATACCCAGCCCTCTGACCTCCTGCACCACGGATGATCTCCCAGAACATTCAGCATCTTGTGCTGTCGGTGCTGAGTTTTGAGTGAGTGCCTCATGTCCCCAACAAAACTAGAAATTCCTTTAGCACAGAGCTGAGTCCTCTTCTCCTTTTCCTCCCTCTCATCTCTACACCCCAGTCCATCCAGTGCGCTGAAGAGTTCTCTGAGGGAAGTCCAGGTACTCCTTCCACAGATTAACGGGCATCTGCAACTGGATCACACATTCCTAATCCTTACAAAACTATTTTGCTGGCAACTTAATGCATCAAATCTATCAAAGCTACAGCCTGTCTTAAATCCCCGCTTAGACTCTGCAAAGAATTAAGATGGGTCACAGGCACTGTACTCTCAGCCCATTGGGCCAAAGCTCCATTTTTGATCCTTCTCCTGCCTGCGATGCCACTGCAGTGTCAGAGCTAATGTCTCAGGTAGAAGCGTTACCTTAACAACCAGAAAGCTTTCCACAACCTCCCACCTGTTTTACACTGAACCTGATACCTCGTTAGTGATCAGCATGAGATAAAATTCTTCTGGTTACAACTGGCCGAAACCACATACTTAGTTCATTCCAGTTAAATCCTTCAATTGTATTACAAGGGAATCTATGCCGAAAAGTGTTTTAGAATTTTAATTTATATAGGTATATGTATTATGTGTATATATTATGCATGTGGGCTGCAAATGTCTCTAGTGAGTCGGTGCAAAGTTGATCTCCCCTTGACACTTGTATTCTTAGATTGAAATGTCAGTGATGCCTGTGTACTAAATTCTGTCATGGGCTAATTTGACAGCTTTGAAACTATACTGCTTATGATTTTTTTTAATTGCAAACATATATATATTAAAATTAGGAGTTATGAACTTTGAACTTTGATTTTAAAAGCATATTAATTCTATGAAATCACATAAAGCAAGGGTGCAAATTATGCAAATACAGTTGTCTATCAGAATGGCTCTGTTCCAGAAAAAAAGAATGTTCAGGTAATTTCTTCCTGCATGAAACATACAGGATAATGATTTTGCATACGACATTTTAGATCTATTATGCTGTTTGCAAAATCAAAATTAACATCCAAGTGGTCACTGCTTACCCTCCATCTTCCTAAGGTTACTTTCCACTCCACAGCACACAGTGACTGGGCCTCTGGGGCCCATTACTGGCTTCTCTCTACAGAACCAGCTCTCCTTAACTAAGCCTGGTTATGAGCAGGTGGAGGAAACTCTTTAAGTCTTCTTGCAAAATTTATTAGAATATTCAGTGGCTGCATTAACATGTTCTAGAAATAACCTGAAAAATCTTTGCCTAATAAGGGAAATTTTGGGAAGTTTTCATACAACATTTATTCTAAGGGATAGCAGAAAAGTCTATTTAAAAATCACACCTTTATTTTTTTCAATTGTCATGTCTCTAGTTCTACTACTTCTAATCTACTACAGTCCTGTACAATAGCATGAAGGGTTTGATCTGCAATTTATACGATCCATTTCTCTTGCTTTGAGACATTTTCATGCTAAGTTTTCTTTGCTTCAGCTTTTCTAGCTCGATGTTGAATTTATCATAATTTGGGAAAGGAGTTAATGGCACTAACCTACCATGTTACCCATCCTCGAGGTTATATACTGTGTCAGTGAATTTTCTCTGATTACCCCTGATTCTTCTATCTGCAACTCCCAGTGACTCATCGTTTTTGCTGTAGGCATCATGGTCCATATTTTTAATACCTTTCCAAAGTCCATGAGTTCCTTAAACTAACCCCTATTCTTCTATCTGCAACTCCTAGTGACTCATAGTTTTTGCCGTATGCATCATGGTCCGTATTTTTAATAACTTTCCAAAGTCTGTGAGTTCCTTAAACCTCTCCTAGGGATAAGACGGAATGAATGAATCAAAGAATCTTCCACAAAACATCTCCACCTCTATTCTTTGAAGGTACCTGACTAGGAGATAAAATTAAAATTTTTGACACCATTGTTCTAATTATTCTTAACACGTGCTCAATTCAGTACTCAGCCAATTCAGTGAGAGAAACGTCTAGTAGTTTATTATTTGGCAAACCTGTGGGCATGCCCTGATATCTTGTGGGTCTGACTTTGAGGGTCAATGAACTCTCAGCCAGGGCAAGTAAGTTACCAAAGGAAGCTCTTAAATATGAAACCATGACAGTGGTTCTGACTGAAAGGCTCTGGCCATTCCTTGATAAGAGCTTCCACCTCAAAGCACCAGTCAGGACCTCCTTCTGAATGGAGTGACAAGCTCTCACTTTGGCCACCTGCCTTCCCTGGGTCAGCCCTCCCTTTCTTTCCGTAAAACCACAGTTGTGCCTCCGGGCCTCCTGGGAGGAAGCACAGGGGGTGCGTCTGGATGGCCTGCTACCTTTGCATACTCTACACAGTGACTTAGCCAGACCCTATCCTGAGATCTGATTCGGGACAAACTCAAAGAACGGGCCGCCGAGATGTCTGAATAACATTTTGATAGAGGTGGGAAAGCAGTGTGGAGGCCTGGCGTGTCATTCTGAAACTAATTTAACTCTACTGAGCTGCCCTAGAAGGACTGCAACAGGCGCTCTTATTTCTTTGTAAAGTTCCCTTTGCACTAAATAGACTCACTCCAGGAATTCCCATTCAAATGTCCTCAGTCTCCCTCAACAGGGTAAAATTTACATATGGAGCTAAGTCAGAATGGAAAACTTCATGCCTTCTGCCTCTGGAAATTAGAATGAGTTATAAAATGTCTCTACTATTATGGGAGTTTCCCAGTTAAAATTTAATATCGGTAAGTTAATGACTACTCAGTTAATGAATAATGGAATATATGAAGTGGATTTTGTTACTTAAGTGAGGTAACTCAGCAGTCTTAAAATATCTATACTACACATTGTGATCGATAAATTATCTTCTATATAATAATGTTCACATGAAGTTAATGGATGTCCTTAGAGATTATATTGTATTCATTCTGAGGATTTCCTTTTGCAGTAGAATACAGGCTAACAGAGAATACATTGGTTTCTATGTAGACTTTTATTGTATTATTATTATTATTATTATTATTATTATTGAGATGGAGTCTCACTCTGTTACCCAGGCTGCAATGTAGTGGCGTAATCTCGGCTCACTGCAACCTCTGCCTGCCTATTATTATTATTATTGAGATGGAGTCTCACTCTGTTACCCAGGCTGGAATGTAGTGGCGTAATCTCGGCTCACTGCAACCTCTGCCTGCCTGGCCCAAGCGAGCCTCTCACTTCAGCCTCCCAAATAGCTGGGATAACAGGAGCTCACCACCAAGCCCAGCTAATTTTTTTTTTTTTTTTTGTATTTTTAGTAGAGACAGGGTTTCACCATGTTGGCCAGGCTTGTCTCGAACTCCTGACTTTCAAGTGATCCACCTGCCTCGGCCTCCCAAAGTGCTGGGATTATAGGCATGAGCCTCTGCACCCACCCTACTATGTAGACTTTTAAATGAGTCAGGAATGACATTTTAATGATAAGAGCAGATGGAGAGGGAATTAAAAATTAAGTCCTTTAAACACAATCTTTTTCTGCCTCAATTTTCGTATCTGAATAATGGGAGGAATGCCTGTTTCATAATTTGTCATACAGACCTGAGCACAAAGGGAGCATTCACGAGTTAGTGGCTATCATTACTGTCACCTTTCCTACTACCGAGCTGTGGCTAACAGAAAACAGCATCATCAGTGCTCCCTAACTGAGTCATCAATCGAGCATCACCTGAGTGTCTTTAACTGGTGGACGCTGAGCTCTTTGCAGGTCTGTGGGTAAAAGGAAGGGCTTTCTCATCCCTTCTCTCAACCCTTGCCTGTGTTCAAAAGGCAGGGTAGAAGTAAATTCTGCTAACTTTAAGATCATAAGAGCCCCTGACTCTAATTCTATGTAATCCAAGACAGAATTACAAATAATTTGTGCCTTCTGAATAAATACTCATTTATGAGAAGGTGATGAAGGCCAGAAATGTGCTGGTTGAAGAGTAACAGAAAGTGAGCAGTGAGCGTGTGACAAAAACTTTCCGTAAAATCATGAACATGATAACTAAAGCATCCCCAGATGGAGAATGGCACTTAGTAGGTATTAACATTTCACCTGTATTATATACATTGGATACTGACAGTATTACTTCTCACAAGAACGCTGGGATCTGAAGTCTTTTAAATTATGATCGAAGACCATCATTTTTGAAAATGCCAAATTGATAAATCATCAGAGTTGCAAAGGCCAAAATCATATGTTCCTCTGGCATGAACGGGGCCTTGTCAGCACAGACCAGCTACATATTTTGCAGGGCCCCGTGCAAAATGAAAATGAGGAGACAGTTTTATGATAATAAATAAATTATAAATAATGCGTTTAAAAGTATTAAGAATTATAAGACAGTGACGTCAGAGCATGAAATCAAGTGAAGGGCCCTGGGCAACTGCTCATGAAACCACCCTGTGTGCAGGGTCCCGCCCCTGCCAGTTGAGGGACAGAGAGCCACTGCAGGTGGCTGGGCAGCCCCCACCTGTTGGAGTCATGCAGTGTGAATGTGACTCACCACTGTTACTGCATCATTCAGCAGGGACTCTCCAAAGACCAGAATGTAGAGTTGCTCATTGACGTGAATGTTCTCAAAGACAGCAAGCACAGCCACAGGATCCACAGCTGAGATTAAGCTGCCAAAGAGCAGATTCTGGAGCAAAGTGATGTCGCTGAGGCCAAATGCTTCGATCTGGCAGATACCAAACAAAGACACACCAATGCCAATGGAATTCCAAAGGGTCCCTACCACAGCATACAAGAAAATGGCGCCAATGTTCTCAAAGAATGGGCGAGTGGGCATGAAATAGCCGGCATCCAGCACGATGGGTGGGAGGAGGTACAAGAAAAACACATCAGTCTTCATTGCAGGGGGCGACTTCTCATCAACACCAAAAATAATCCCGCCTAGTAGAAGTCCAACCATTATAAGAAGGCAGCTCTCAGGCACTATTGTGGGCAACTTGTGATACAGATGGAAGCCTGGTAAGGAAAACATAAAGACACAAAACTTGGGTTATGGAGGAATTTTGGAGATAGGAAATTGGTTCCCTTTGATAGAACCAGTGGGTCCTATTTCACCATCTCCCAAGTCAGTATCACGGTCTTTACACTGGCTTCCCAGATTACAGTGCAAACCAAAGGTTTCCCTTAAAACTATTCATGAAGCACATGTAGACAAAAACTTAATGTTACATTAAAATTGGAGTGCTATAAATACACATTATCTACACTGTACAGTTTTCATTTTTCTAAACCCCTATTAAGTTTTTCTTCAATATTGTGACTGTGGAAATGGAGTAACCAATTTTTATTTTTATTTTTTTTTTTTGAGATGGAGTCTTCCTCTGTCACCCAGGCTGGAGTGCAGTGGCACAATCTCGGCTTACTGCAACCTCTGCCTCCCAGGTTGAAGCAATTCTCCCTGTCTCAGCCTCCCAAGTAGCTGGGATTACAGGCACGCACCAGCATGCCTGGCTAATTTTTGTATTTTTAGTAGAGACAGGGTTTTGCCATGTTGGCCAGGCTGCTCTCAAACTCCTGACCTCAGGTGATTCGCCCGCCTCAGCCTCTCAAAGTTCTGGGATTACAGGCATGAGTAACTGCGCCCGGTGCAATTTTATATTTGAAACAATTCAGTGATTTCTAAAACATTTTCAGATGTAACATCTCATTTCATCCTCATAAAAACCCTAATGAGTAGGCAAGGCAGTTATTTTCATGCTTTGTAAAAATTTAAGTGGGAATTGAAGCTGAAAGAGATCCAGGGTCTTACTACCAAGGTAGTCAGGTCACAGCCCATTTTTACATTACTACTCTCATCTGTAGCATTCAGAAACATTGGCATTGTATTTATTTTCAATGTCTGATTCTTGGATTTGGAACACTGAATAGGTTTAATATTTGAGACGTGTGCTCCTTCAGAGACAACCCAATCAATTTGTCAGGATGCCTCAAGTTAACTACTCTATGAGGGATATACACGTGCCATGATCTCTAATCTCAAAGAGTTCCCAATACAGCTCCCAACATATATTTATGACTTACTCTAAAACAAGGCAAAGTGCGGTCAAGCCCCAGCCAAGTGCTATGGGAACAGGGGAAGAGGAAGTCTGCTTAGGAAGACCCAGAGTAGGACAATATCTGGGCAGGGCTGAAAAGACAGGCATTAAACAGAACCATGAAGGGGCTTCTCTAGTACATGGAAAAATGGTGGGAAATATCCACCTCTTAACTCGTGGTAGAGCCCATTGTGGCTTTAAAACAGAGAACGTGTTAGGAGGAGGCCTGTAGGGAAAGAGGAGAGAGATGTGGGTTGGGCCAGCACATGGAGAACACGTGGAAAGTGACTTAACACACGAAGGTCACTGGACGGAGCTTAAGTTTGGAGAGCACTTACTTGCAGGACAATAGCAGTCATCCTGCAGGCATTCAATACAGTTTAGAACGAAAGCAGAATATGAGAATGCTATGCTTTGGCGGTCCCCCCTCTAAAACTCAGGTGTTGCCAACATGATAGCCTTAAGAGGTGGAGCCTTTAAGGTGTGATTAGGCCATGAGGGCTCCTTCCTCGTTCGTGGGATGAAGGTCCTTACACAGAGGCTTCTCACAGCGTTGCTGGTTGGTTAGCTTGCTCTTCTGCCCTCATATGCCCTCTGTCTTCTGCCATGTGAGGCTGAAACAGGAAGGCACTCACCAGACACCAAATGCCAGTGCCCTGAGCTTAGACTGCCCAGCCTCTGGAACTGTGAAAACATCAATGTTCTTTATAAATTATCCAACTGTGGTCTTCTGTTTTCTAGCAACAGGAACAGAGTAGGACAGAAATTTATCTGAATTATAGAAAGATAATACAGCCATGTACCACATTCAGTGTTTCAGTGAACAGTGGACCACATATAGGATGGTGGTTCCATAAAATTATCATGGAGCTGAAAAATTCCTGTCGCCTGGTAACACCTTTATGATCCTGACCCTGTGTAGACATACGCTGATGTGTATGTATATGTCTTGTTTTTAACAAAAAAGTTTAAATATCAACACACTATTTTTTAACATACAAAGCTTATAGAATAAGGATATAGGCCAGGCACGGTGACTTATGCCTGTAATCCCAGCACTTTGGGAGGCCAAGGTGGGTGGATCATCTGAGGTCAGGAGTTCAAGACCAGCTTGGCCAACATGATGAAACCCTGTCTCTAGTAAAAATACAAAAATTAGCCAGGTGTGGTGGCGGGTGCCTGTAATACCAGCTACTTGGGAGGCTGAAGCAGAAGAATTGCTTGAATTCAGGAGATAGAAGTTGCACTCAAAAAAAAAAAAAAAAAAAAGAAGGGTATAATGAAAGAAAACACTTTTGTGCTACTGTACAATGTGTGTTTCAAGCTAAGAGTTATTACAAAAAATTTTTTAAAAATAAGTTTAGCATAGACTACAGTGTCTATGAAGTCTACAGTAGTGTACAGTAATGTCCTACGCCTTCACATTCACTCACCACTCACTCACTGACTCACCCAGAGCAACCTCCAGTCCTGCAAACTCCATTTACAGTAAGTGCGTTATACAGGTGGACCACTTTTTATCCTTTATACTACATTTTTTACAATGCCTTTTCTATGTCTAGATATGTTTAAATACGTCAATACTTCTTGTTGTGTTACAAATACCTACAGTATTCAGTACAGAAACATGCTGCACAGGTTTGTAGAGGAGGAGCAATCGGCTGGTAGACGACATCATATAGCCTAGGTGTGTGGTAAGCTGTAACACCAAGGTTTGTGTAAGCACACCCTATGATGTTCACACAATGACAAAACCGCCTAAGGATGCATTTCGCAGAACGTATCCCCTTTGTTAAGTGATAAATGACTATTAAAGTGATAGAATAAGTCTTTAGGTACTTACAGTCACAGAACTTTTAGTAAGTAAATCCTTAAGAGCTTACAAACAGGACTAAAACTATAACATTAAACATTTTGTGAGCCAAATCAATATAGCTGTAAAAATTGGAAAAGGTTTAAAGAACTGTGAAATAATACAGTGATCATCTGTATGTTGAGCGTTCAAATCTAGCTTTATGTTAATATTTATACTACAGAAGGCTCCAATAATTTGTGAGGACTAAATGTATTCAATGGGTGCAGCTGCTCTTGACCTACGACCTCTGGCAAGCCCACTGACCTCACTGATAAATGAGGAAATAATACATTCCCTGAAAACCAGGCCTCTGTTCCCCCAAGCTGACTCCTGCTTCTATGTGCACCTGCTACTGTGTGAGAAGAGTCAGCCGACAGCAGCATCTCCAGTCCCCTAATATCCAAATGAAATCACCTCCTTTCCTTTACTGCAGTACAACCCGGAGGTTTCTGCCACGGGCCTGCAGCATGCCGTCGGAGAACTGCCCCCTGACTTGAAACCCAGCCCTCCCGGTCTCTGCCTGTGATTGTGGAAAGGTTCCTAACATGCGCAGGCCGCACCTACTCATCTGTGAAACAGACACAGATGCACCTGCTGGGTAAAGAACCATAGCTATAACCAGGCAGTCAACTGCACAGTACTTAACCACTGTGCCTCTAACATCACAAATGCCTCCAAATTTTAGTTGCCTTCCCCTCCTATATGTAAGAAGGCAAGAGAAAACAGTTTTAAAGAAATGCACAGAAGCCATAGGATCCACGGAGACCAACAGGAAAATGGATGAGGACCGGTTTTGGAGGCTCCCATTTCCTCTTTCACCTTTTTCTTTCCTTTCACTGACCCAACAGCCTCAGAGACCCACGCTTTCACAGGGGGTGCTGCTCTTCTTGCTGTATCAAAAGGATATTCTCATTCCTAAGGTTGGAGAATAGAAAGCCAGGGAAAAGAGGAAGGAAGAGGCACTGCTGAAATGCACCACAGAGGCCAGCGCGCCTGCCATGCTCAGGCAGTGAGACTGATCCTGACCAGAAACTCGGGCAAGTGGAAACAACCAAGAAGCAGCCAATAAAACACGGCAAAATAAATGCAGGATGCAGTTAGAATGAAGACCCTCCCGGACAGCGGCCAAAGGCGGCATGAAGGAAGCGAGGCAGAGGAAAATCCAGGAGTAACAAAATCAGAGAGGAACAGCAAGAAACCCAGGGACACTTGTTGAAAAAAAATCAGACGGTTTCATGTTTTAAAATCTGCACTCCTTTAATGAATACTTGGGTCATTCAGAACTGACCTGAATGACCCCTTCTTAAAGTAGGACAGCAGTTACTGAGTTTGCCAAATTGTTTCTTTGGCAAGAAGAGATTAAATGAAGGGCGGTCACACAAGATCTTAGTTCAGTGCTTTTTGGTGAACATAAGCAGAGAAACTGTGTTGTGTAACATGCTGTCTGTATGTTGAGCATTCAAATCTAGCTTTGTCTTAATATTTATACTACAGAAAGCTCCAATAATTTGTGAGGACTAAATGTATTCAATGGGTGCAGCTGCTCTTGACCTGTGACCTCTGGCAAGCCCACTGACCTCACGAGGTGCTTGGGCTGCAGGTGTCTGTGTTTTTATGAACTACCAAAGTAAAAACTCATCAGCTAAGTAATTAGTGACAACAAACAAAAGAAGGCTTCTTAGATTTCATTTTTCACGGAATAAATCAAAAATTACAAATGTGCATGCATTTATGGCTTTTCCTCCCCCAAGTGTTTCTTGAAGAGGAAATGAAGAGAGAAAATTTGCTTTCTTGGAATCATCAAGGTGCTGGGATGTAGCAATGTGTTAAACAAAACCTCTTCACTGGAGACCTGCAGGCTAGTGTGGGAAACAGAAAATAAGTCAGTCAGCCAATAAAGACACAGTAGCAGGCAGTGATGAGCAGTGCAGACAAAAGCAGAGAGCCGTGAGAGAATCCTTTGGATTGATGAGAGAATCCTCTTGATGGATATTTTGTATCAGTGTGCCGAGGGAAGCCTCATTGGTGAGTGACACCTGAAGGAAGCCCTGAATGAAGTGAAGGTGTGAAACATAGTGGAAGAACTTTCCAGAGCAGGGAAGAAAAGAACAAGGGGACAAGCCCTGAGTTGGGAGCACCTTGAGCCAAGAGGCCACTCTGGCTGGAGCTTGAAGAATGAAGGAGAACAAGGTAAGAAATGAGGACAGAGGGACAGAAAAATGCTGGAGCCTGCATAGCCTGTGGTCCTGGGACAGACGCTGGATATTTCCTGAGAGGCTTTTGAGCAGAGGAATGTCATGACCACGTCCCCACTGTTGAAAAACACTGCTGCTGTTGAAAAACAGAAGCAGGCAGGCCAGTGAGGAGTCCTTTTCAACAAACCAGGAGAGGGCTGAGAGTGGCTTCCAACCATCAAAGTGGTGGTGAGTATGACAGGAGGGGGATGGGGGGTGTATTGTAACAGGTGCTCCAACAGAGTGTGCTGCTGGCCTGGATGAAGGATGTGAGACAGATGATCAGGGATGAATCCATAGTTTGGGGTTCAAACAAATGTGTAGAATGGGACTATTTACTGAGATGGAAAGCAATAGGAAGGCAGATAATTTTAGGAGAGAAACTCAAGATGGTAAACACCAATCAGAAATCCTTTAAAAATACCATGGAGCTTAAAAAATTGATAGCATGATTTAGCCAGAAGAAATGGCAGACAGTTTCTAGGGAGCAGTAGAGAAGAGCCATCACTTCTCAGTACGATGCCACACTCCCCCACACCACTGCTAAACACATCACCATATGTTCTTTCATTAACCCCATAATGGACGTCGGGGATGAAATAGTAAATCCACACAATGATGTACAGAGGTACACGAATGTCTTATAAAGTAAGAAGCTGTACAACAACAAGGAAAGAAAGCATAATTTAACCAGTGTTATAGGAACAGGCAGATAGAAATAGCAAACGCATACCTACAGGTTTCTTTTTAACTTCCACAACTGTGGAAAATTCCATGAAGGTCAAAGAGTTTAACATTAAACAAAAATAATCTACAAAAACAGAAAATAATTCCTTTTTTACTATGTTTTATTTTACTTTAATTTCCAGGATACATGTGCAGAAGGTACAGATTTGTTACATAGGTATACCTGTGTCATGGTGGTTTGCTGCACCCATCAACCCATCATCTAGGTTTTAAGCTCTACTTAGGTATTTGTCTTAATGCTCTCCTTCCTCCTGCCCCCCATCCCCCAGACAGGCCCTAGTGTGTAATGTTCCCCTCCCTGTGTCCATGTGTTCTCATTGTTCAACTCCCACTTATGAACAAAAACATGCAGTGTTTGGTTTTCTGTTCCTGTGTTAGTTTGCTGAGAATGATGGTTGCCAGCTTCATCCATGTCCCTGCAAAGGACATGAACTTATTCTTTTTTATGGCTGCATGGTATTCCATGGCGTGTATGTGCCACATTTTCTTTATCCAGTCTATCATTGATGGGCATTTGGGTTGGTTAGAAGTCTTTGCTATTGTGAATAGCACTGCAAGAAACACACCTGTGCATGTGTCTTTATAGTACAATGATTTATAATCCTTTGGGTATTTACCCAGTAATGGAATTGCTGGGTCAAATGGTATTTCTGGTTCTAGATCCTTGAGGAATCGCCACATTGTCTTCCACAATGGTTGAACTAATTTACACTCCCACTGACAATGTAAAAGCTTTCCTATTTCTCCACATCCTCTCCAGCATCTGTTGTTTCCTGACTTTTTAATGATTACCATTCTAACTGGTGTGAGATGGTATCTCGTGGTTTTGATTTGCATTTCTCTAATGACCAGTGATGATGAGCTTTTTTTCATGTTTGTTGGCTGCATAAATGTCTTCTTTTGAGAAGCACTTGTTGGATATCCTTTGCCCACTTTTTGATGGGGTTGTTTGTTTTTTTCTTGTAAATTTGTTTAAGTTCCTTATAGATTCTGGAAAATACACCTATGTCAGATGGAGAGATTGCAAAAATTTTCTCCTATTCTGTAGGTTCCCTGTTCACACTGATGATAATTTTTGCTGTACAGAAGCTCTTTAGTTTAATTAGATTCCATTTGTCAATTTTGGCTTTTGTTGCAATTGTTTTTGGTGTTTTAGTCATGAAGTCTTTGCCCATGTCTGTGTCCTGAATGGTATTACCTAGGTTTTCTTCTAGAGTGTTTATGATTTTAGGTTTTACACTTAAGCCTTTAATCCATCTTGAGTTAATTTTTGTATAAGGTGTAAGAAAGGGGTCCTGTTTCAATTTTCTGCATATGGTTAGCCAGTTTTCCCAGCACCATTTATTAAATAGGGAATCCTTTCCCCATTACTTTTTTTGTCAGGGTTGTAGAAGATCAGATGTTTGTAGACGTGTGATGTTATTTCTGAGG